CACATCTTCAAGTGGTCAAGGTTGAGAAACACTGGTCTACATCATGATGTTATAGCCATGAAGTTCCCATCTTTGCTCTAAGTTGTGTCAGGGATGAACTGGTGAGAAATTATCTATATCATACCTACTTTCCAACTACACTTTCTCTTGCTTTATCTGGCTGAAGTTAGGTATATAAACACACAGATACATAGTTATTATACAGGATATCCCTTTCAACTTCAAGGGACTTCCTTTACAGTACATATTTATGATGGATGAGAAAAATTATATTCATTCACTTCTGGGGAAGAAATGGCAAACTGAAGACGGCTCTGCTGAGAATGGAGCTGACAACCATGGTGGAATGAAGAGCTGGTGAGTGGACCAACTCTTTGCGATTCCACTCCACACAAGGAGAGGTCTTGGGATTGCCCATAAGTACTCCAGACAGTTGCTTCTCATGAGAAGACTATAAGACAGTGTTCTCCAGTGGGTTTAATGCTCTGGAAGACAAGGGAATGCCATCTTAGCCCAAACTGAGGTTGGTGCCTTTAAGGAAGGGTTTGCATACTGACTTTTCTAATCACTTTTGGAAATTGCTTGTTAACTGCTTTTCAGCTACTAGGAACCTTTGGAATGACAGGTTTTATAGCACTGGGTGAGTTTTTCTCAATCTTTAGTGAAAGAAGTTTTAAATACAAGTTTAAGGACTTTAAAAAATTCTTCTTCTTCTTCTTTTTGTAGTAAACAATGAAACGGTGATTAGAACATTGATTTTGGAAAATTACAAAGGGACTAAGGGTCCAGATAGATTTGAAATAAGATTTTGAAATTAATTATAAGAATCCCTCCTATGGGAAAATCCTGTTTTGAATTCTTAAAAAAAAAAAAAAAAAAGGATGGGACTTTGAAGGTTGGCCACTAGCCAACTGGTTCCAACAGAAGGAATTGAAGTTTATAATTAAGGGAGAAAAAAACTTAAATTTTACTTACTATTACAGAATGGAGCAAAATACTTTAACATTGGATGATATTTGTGAACAATGGTCCCAGAAGTTAATTCTAAGAGTGACTGCCATTATAGATAGACTGTGTTTAAAAGAGATTATGGAAGAGGAACAAGTTTTACTGGACTGAGACTGATCTGAAAGTGGATTTAAAAATGCCAGGCCACAAGAATGTTATGGAAAAAGATGTTACACTGGATAAACAAATGAAACCGGCTGATGTCTTCGATATACAAATAACACCCAAAAGAATGATCTGGATAACTTTCCTATAATGAATTTACAAAAGAGACTTGTTTAAGTTTTGAAGAATGTAGTGATAAGGAACAAAGAAAAAATGAAAATAAATCAAGTTCTAGGACATTATTTGAAGGAATTAAAGATTAAGATAGTTAAAAGTAAAAGGAAGGAATAAAAAGTTGGTTTATTGGATCAAGGTTAAAATAGACATATTGTTATCTCTGGTAACTCTTAATGGACTTAGGTGGTCCGGAGTGAAAGATGAGTTTTTATGGATTTGTTCATAGATAAAAGATGAGATATGGGAAGAATACATCATTTGTTGTATTTTAAGAGAAGGTGATAAGTTACTAAAATTGTTTATACTTTTTGTAATGAAGGGGCAAGTCAATTCTTTGTTTATTTCTTTTCTTTTTCTTTACTATATTCTTATTTTTTTTCTTCTTTTCTATTTTTCTATTTTTTTATTTTCTGCACTTTCTATTTTTTATTTTTATTTTTTTTAGTTTGTATTAGTTTTTAACTTTTTAACTGTACTGTTTAATAAAATTACTATTAAAAAAGAAGAAATATATTCAAGTGAATACACTTAATTCAATCTCCAAAGAAATGTAGCGAAACCAGAACCAGTTTGTTTGACTTTACATTTGGTTTCTATAAACAATCTCAAAAGTACATCATGCATTAGATCATAATTATTCATGCAGAAGTAAAACAAATGATCATTTATATTACTATTAATAGCATTCAGGAAAGTGCATTTAAATATTAAATAACTAGTGACATTAATGTCTTATGTAACAATTTCTGAGTGGAGACTTGTAAAAAAGTGTGTGTGTGTGTGTGTGTTGTGTGTGTGTATAATATCAGCAATTGATCAAAATTCAGTCTTCTTGAATTTTATCAAATACATGGCCAACTGTGTCCCAGGCCTTGGGGTGTTGCTGTTGACTGTATGCATTAAGACCACATCCATGATTTAGAGGTGGATGAGCAGGGAGATCTGGAGTGTATTACTGAGATCCAGCTAGGTTATGCTGGTGATATCACTGCCTCTGAAATCTCCCTGGCTGTGTTTTGGGTCCTCTTCAGCCTAGAGACCAGGACTGTGATGAGGGTGGGGGTAGCACTGATCTATCAGGAGATCTTACCAGTGACCAATGTTTCTGTTCCAGCAGTGGCAAGGCGAGAGTGCTTATGTGTTAAGTTGGGCTGTAGAGACAAGTTAGGGAACTTGTTGGTGTATTGGCTTCTTTGATACCTGTCAGGGTCCCTCCCTTAGCCTCTGGATCTCGTTGCTGGACTGGTGGAGACAACCCCATGCCTTTTGGTGTTGGGGAACTTTAATCTTCATGTCTGAGGTTGAATTGGGCCCAGCAGTTAATGGCTTCCATGCCAACCATGGGCTTGTCTCAGGTATTCTTGGGCCCAACACATGTAGGAGAACATACTTTGGATCCTGCCTTTCCTTCAAAAAAGATGTATGAGATCTGGACATGTGGGACATTACTACTGATCCTTTGCCATGGTTGGATGATTTCCTGGTCCAGACGCAACTGACTGCCATCTGAGATGTCAATAGGGCTGGACCTATTTAAATGGTTTGCCCCATAGATCCAAATAGTTTCTGATGGTGCTTGAAGAATTTCCTGATAATCTGGCAGGTGAATCTGCTGAAGGCCTGGTTTGCTGTTGGCATTCAGGGATGGCCTGGTATGGTGCTGGTGTGGTACCAGAAGATTGGGGAGGAAAAATTAGATAGTGGTGTGTATCTCTTTCCTTTAGGTGCATGGTATGTAGAATTTTATATTCACATATAATGGTTGAATGTGTAATACAGAATTAAATAAGCATTTATTTTAGTCACTAAAGGGTTGTTTGATGCCTTTGAACTGTGGTGCTGGAGAAGACTCTTGAGAGTCCCCTGGACTGCTAGGAGGTCAAACCAGTCAATCTTAAAGGAAATCAACCCTGAT